TCGGACAGCGGCGCTCTTAAAGAGAGGCGCCGCTCTCCGCGGACGGTCCCAGTTGCCAAGAATCGGTCAAATCGTCGAGCCAGGTTGGGTTGATCGTCTTGTTGATTATTTTTTAGTACCCTTATAAAACCTCTAAAACGTCTTGAAAGAAACTGCCATCTCAGGTCTTTTTAGCGATGTCATGTTCAATCTGGGAAGCTGTAGTCCGTTATGTTTCATTGCGACAAAAGAGTTTTGAGGGTATAGGAAATGGTAGCACCAGAGCGGCTAGGTGCTGGAGCCTGACTGCCAGGAATTCTGCACAAGATGATTTTCACAAAGAGTGTTTTGGAGATTCACGATTGATCTATGCATTCCCTGTTCTTTTGTGAGGGCTCATATTTGCTGCCAAAGGCCGATTCTAGAGGTTTATAGGGGGAAGTGCAAGTGCCTGTGGTCAGTTGTTTGCGTGTTCTCGGCCATTCTTGTAGTCCACGTCTTTCTGAAGAGATTGAGATTAGTGTGGTTTGGACTCACCAGGTGAGTCCCAGGTGTAGGTGAAGTGTGGAAGGTTTGAGGGTGGCAGGCGTTTGGAATTGTAGCGTTTCTGTGTGTTTTGACCTAAGTCACACTTGAGTTTTGCATGGTTTTCGGGACTTGGGTGTTGGTCAAGATTACAAACTCCAGCCCAGGTTAGATGAACGTCCGCAGGAACACCATCCGCTTGATTTGTCGTGAGGCATAATGTTCGGGGCTTTGGGCGATTCGGCAGTTGGGCATCCTCTCCGCATGTGAGCTGCTGGCCCCCATGTGAGTGATCTCACCCTTGCAGCGAGGAGCCTGATTTGACCGATGTAGCCTGCATTTCTTGCTGACGGAAGATCCAACATCACTCCCAATGTCAATCATGAGCCACGCTCAACCAGTTTTTGGTATGGAGCTTGACCTGCCATTGTAAGCTTTTGGAACCAAACATGCATGTGTTGCTGTGCTTGCAGAAGCTAGGCGTAAGCTGGTGAGCAAATCAAACGAGGCGAGACAGGCCCGCCGCAAACCATGGGTTCAGTTCTTTGATGCGCTTCTTTTGCTGCCTCTCATGGGGGTCGCTTCGCCGTCGGCGAGTGAATCAGGGGCGGAGCTGAAACCAGGAGCCACTTGAAAAGGCAAGCACAACTTGAGAAACACCGACATGTTTCTAGGCGACAGGAGTGGCCAGGGAGTACAGTCTATTCTGGGGCTTTTCTTGTGCATGAGAGGGCAACATTGGCTCTGTTAAGAAAGTAGCAGCCAACCAGTGTGTAGAGACCATCAGAGACCCTCAGATGGACCAATGGATGTTTGTTTAGGCGTATTTGCTGTTTTCTGGAACCTACTGTATATATCGACCCCCCTGTCAGAGTTGGTAGAATTAATACATCAATCTAGCCATACGTGCACCGAATGGCACAAAGACGGAAGATAAATCAAGTGGACAGATGTTCAGACAATGACAATGTCTATGAGTTTGGTCCTGATCCAACAAAACAATTGGCACAACAAGTAAGTGTTATTGTATGAAGCTATGTCGGCTGCATGCCACTCCCCGAGTTCCTGGCAGTTCTCGAAAACATGTTTCGTTGTGTGTTCTTCACGATGTGTCCGTTGGAACGATCAGATCCATGTGTTCATTGAGCTTACTTGAGCTTTCTTGATTGAAACCCCTTGGATCCCAACAGTCCTCGTTGGTCCTCTCAAGTCCTCTCCAACCAGTCAGTGCCCGCTTGTCATGCCAAAGACGGGTACGGTGCACGCTGGCCTAACATGGATCCTTACATGGTTCCATCAGTAAATCTTGCCACCAGTTGCTGAGCCTTACAATGTTGTATACAGTATACAATGTTCTTCTCCAACGGGGAGAACAACACATTTTTGTATAGACCAACTACTACTGCTTCATTCGAATCCCTACGCCCGCCCTAACTAGCATCATACAGGATGAGTAGTCCAAAGCCTCAATGTCCATTCAGCTTCGGACCTGCGTGATCTGTTTGCTGACTTTTCCGCCGCACCCAAGTCGCTACCCTGCCTGCCGAAGGGAGAGGAGGGTCAGGTCGAGGTTGATGAGGTCGATGGATGAGTCGTGGGATGCGAAGCAGCGGATCCGAAGGTCGTTTGTTCCAGCACGGTGACGTCCAGGTCGATCTGGACATACGTGGACAGCTGGTACTGTAGGCAGGAAGAGCCTAGTCACAGCCCAGATCTTCAGCCTGGCCAATGCCATCATGGATCCTAATTAATATTAATTGATAGGCTCCGCATAGGTATCGGATGAACTGCTGCATATTGTTGGAAGGTATCGGGCTTTCTGGCGCAGAATCAATGAACAAATTAGGCGGCTGGCTTGCTGGGCAAATGCTCAGGGCACAGGCCAATTGAGACTTGGAGTCGCGTTCGAGATGTCAGGGGACTCAAGGAACGGGCTGAGCTTGCAGGTGATCTCCAGATCAATGGTTTATAAGAGCCAACTGACCGCCACAGAAGAGAAACAAATACTGTAAAGATGTTCAAGAAGTGCACTGAGGATAGTCATCAGTGCTGATTGCAATTCCTCAAGTTCAAGCCTGTCGATTGAACTGATTTGTGGCCGAACCAAGCGGGACACACTGAGCACGCCGCCGCGGCCGCTTTCACCGTCGCGCGCTGACCACAATACCAGTACAAACGATGTCGCAACACTCTTGCAGAAGGGAAGTTGGAAGACTCGTTCCAACAGTCCCCCCCAAACCAAACAACACCTATACAATTAATATATAAATATATCCACCTATCCATCTATCATATCAATCTCTTGGGGTGCCCACGCCACCCAAGAACTCCTCAAGATGGACTTTCTTGGAGCCTTCCCGGTGCCGGTACACTCGATCCCAGTTCACTCGGGGCCTCAGATGATCCATAATACCTAGATACCATCGATTTCAATCAAAACATAGATGTATCGATATAGCCCAATGACCTAGACTTTCTGTTCCTGTCATCGATCCACATATCTTGATTTAGCGGGCGTGTGCGCGTGCTCAGATGAGACGACCCCTGCTTGATAGCCTCATTTTTCCTGAAGAACCAGGCAGCTGGCGTATGAGTATTGCAGTTCTTCTGGGCGCATGATTCGAACATGGTGGATGTAAAGAGTCATGGTAGGATTCACAAGCTGTTCAAGTTTGGTGATATTTGCTTTGACGTAGACTTGGAAGAAGGCACCTGCGGTTAAACGCTGAAGTGAGAGCAGCCCTTCACCTACTACACTGTTAGATGCCATCAAGAAGCAGTTGCTTATGTACACAATCCACCTTTCGGTTCCAAGTTGGTATTCATTTGAAAGTGTTTCCAGCTTCTTACACCGGTCGAATCGAATGCATTTGTATTCAAGCTCTGCGGGCTTATAAAGGCTCTGTCCAAACTCTTTGTGCGATGGGCCGTGGGTGGTGAGTGTGTGCATTTGAGGCTTTGGTCAGATCAAGAGTAGGCAAGACACAATGCGTACACATGGTTGGTGAACTAGCGGGGACTTGGGCCCCTGGGTAAGCATCAAAGCGTCCGGGACGCAGGTTGAATATGGCATGGTTAAACAAACACTTGTATTTTCTCCCTTGGCTGATTCCCGATGGTTCGCCTCACCCGAATCCCTTTGTTCTGTCGAATGCCTTGTGGGTGAAGTGGTGAGTCGATGAGAAATACAGCTCAGATAAGTGCCGATGGTCAAGCCATGGTGTCCATCTACAGCACGTCTACGTAGAACCGAGGGATTGACACGATCCCACAAAGTGACTCATCAGGCCATCCGCTCCGTCCTGACATGGGGATCTGTATATTATTGATTATTCTTGTATACTACCCGAGCAGTTGCAGTACCCCATCATATGGTATATACTATAATATAACTATATATGTATGTATGTATCATCATCATCAACATCATCATCATCATCATCATCCTCGTCGTCATCATCATCGTCATCATCATCATCCTTTGGACTTCGCGGGGCTACGCTTTGCCCAAGATCACACCAGGGTCACCAGACCCCGCAAGATCGCACCATGTCCAGCCCCGTTTGGCCGCCCTTCAGCGGCGGCTGTTGGTCCCTCGAACCGAAGCCATTCAACATCAACAGAGTTTTTTTTTTTCGCCGATGCGCACGCCCTGGATGCCCATTGCAGTGATGGCGCCGAGACTCGAGCTTATAGTGGTGTGAAGATGGAAAACACCTACCGTGCGGCCTGCCATTGGCGACCGTGTGACTTGGGTCTCAGGTGTTTCAGCAGCAGGTTTTCCCAACTCGCTTTAGATGCTTTTAGTAAACATCTTTGTTCAGTAATAGGCCAACTGTCACAACGCTCCCACAACCTGACCGGTCAATGCGGCCCCCGAACCAATCGCGCCAAACTGTTGATGCAACACTTTGCGCCCCTGTTCCCCAAATTCCCCGGATTATCACCAAAAAAACCTTCCTGTTTTTTGTTTTGTTTTGCAAGTTGGAACCAGCATTTGGAAGCACAAACTGATGGGCAAAACGTGTCAAGCAGCGTTTTTGGAGCTCCTTTGGCACTGATGGAACATGCGAACCGCCCGTTCTCGGCTAGGTCGATTTGGTCATGATGCCACTACACTCGGACTCACTAACATGGAAATGGTCACCCTTTGTTCATAAAGGAAACTATTCTTCCTTTCGGGGCCATGCCATCCACTTCCAAAGTTTGTCGGAGTGCAAGTAGGATGGTTTAGGACAGTTGGAGAATTGTTCTTTTGGCCTTCCAGGCTTGGCAGTGGTCTCCCAAGTCCGAATGGGTTTGTGACGTCATTGCTGTACATCCGGAATTTGGCGCGACATTGGGCGATATTTAGATGAACACCCCAAATGCCAATATCATGTTCACGCGTTTTCGTGCACGGCACTGTAAATTCGCCTTTTCGGCCCGTGGTGAAACCGGTAAGGCGAATGCACCCACCGTGTTCGCCGCGGCGTGTTTGGACGGCCACACGCCAGGTTGCCAGGATGCCTGGCTGCGAGGGGCAGCTCAGCGACTGGCAGAGGAGGCAGACCTGGTGCTGACTCATCACCCTCATCAAGAGTCTTGGTCCAAGAACTTGCATGCCTGGAGCCTAAACGCCTGACATTACCGTTTTGTTCATACCTGGTATTGGCCATCTCCGAAAACTGTAAACCATTTCCTTCAACTTCAACCAGGCACCTCGCCCAAAACCTGGTCGCTTCGTCGAAAGCCACGGCTGTTGGCGTGTCGCTGACGACCGTGTCGGTGGTGAGCGCATTGGTCAGGCGTCCCAGCTACGGACGGAGCGCTTGGCAGACGCCATTGGAGCCTTTGTGCCTCAGACCAAGGGAGAACACGGACCTCGGATGTTAACGGAAGTCTGAAGCTCATGAGTCAAAGCCTCAGAGATTTCGATTGGAATTGCATCTCTGGGGGAAATTTAGATGGTGCAGGTGACAAGTCGGGTTCACCTTAAGAAATTCGGCTAGTAGCAACAAGGCGGTGAAGAACTTGTGGCTGGCCACAAAGTGGCCGCTTTTCACCATTGAGTGATGAACCAACGGTGACAAAGATGTGCAAGACTCAGGAGAGGGCTCAAGAATTCTAAAGGCGGGATACGGATGAGGTCTCTTGAGATCTCTCTCATGACCGAGTTCTGATCACCATGAGATGCTCACGTGTCAGAAAGGTTTGCCACTGTCATTGTGGTTGTGAGTAATGTGTATATATATATATATATGTTTGACCACCTTGTGACTATATAAACGTTCTTGTTGAAATTTATTTTCTGCGGGCATTGAATTTGGTGGGTTCTCCGTCGCTTATTTTTTAGTTGTACTTGTCATGCTGCTGTGCTAAAGTTTTGTCGTCCCTGAGATTTGTTTCTTGCTTCCAGTCCGTGGGGTCATAGAAACCGTGGAAGCATCCTCCAAGAGGTTGTGTATGGGTGTTGTTGTCAACATGCCTTCAGAGTATGCGCGCCTTTGAGGCACAAAAGTAGGAAAGTGTGTGTGTGTGTGTGTTTCAATCCAAAATGGAAATGGGTATGCGAATTACTATATACAATTTGATATGCAATGGCCATGCTCCAGCAAACTTGAAGAAAGCTGAGTGTGAGAGAGCATCGGGTCATCATCAAAACCCAAAACAGCTTGGTATTGGGGAAGTACGACATTGCATGCAGGGAGAACCCTTCCTGTTTACTTGGTATTTCTGATTTCTTTGAATTGGACCGCAGCTGATGACGTATTTTTGTTTTCAACATGTTTTTTGCCTGAGGCAGACCTCACTGTGAGGCTGGAGGCGTGCCAGGGGCTGAGAAGCGGACCCTCCCACAAGTGGCATTGTGTTTGCAAGCAGGTGCATCCTGGGCATGTTCCACCGAGATTGAAGGAGTCCTGGTGCGGACTTGATTCCATCCGTGACGACAACGATGCCCTGCGGCTTGCTGGCGCAGATCAAATCAGTTCTTCCATACCTTTGGTGCCGAGTCACGGCGCTCCGGTCGGATCAAAGCGTGTTGTGTGGTTTCAAGTCACGAAAGGCTCGGCCTGAACACGGCCGGCAGAGCGCGCGCTTTCTTCTCCGGTGAGGCCAGCTCTGGGCTGATCCAGCGATGGGCGGGCAGGCCACCCATCGGTCGCACTGGGAGTCGCGCTGGGATCTGGAATCCTCAAAGTGACTATATGTATTATATATTTATATTACAACAACGTTTGCATGAATAAAAGTGGGCGGTAGAAGGCACCGATGGGTTTTTGCTGTTTTGAACATTTATACGCTAACTATGCATGTTTGTGATGTTCTGGCAAACTTGGTGGAATTTGAGAGAAGTGAATAAACATGCTTCAGGAAGTGCTTCAGTAGTCATGCACACGAACAGCTGATCATAGTGACTGACAGTTTCAGCCTTTTAGAAAACCCTGGATGCTTCTGTACAATTTCATTGAAGGAAGTCTTCCTGCATCTCTTTGGAGTGAACGATGACTTCTAGTCAAACGGATTTTCACACACGGTCAGGGACTGGACATGTGTGAAAAGGTGTACTACTAGTACTACTACACTACTGTGGGCATGGCTTCGCCGAACAACACCACAGCAGGTCTGCAAAGAGTAGAACTAGGGTTCTTTGATATCGACAATTCCTATTGTTGAAGGGGTATTCCTTTGAATCTATCCGGTGGTGTTTGGGATAACATGTGCTTACATTGCTCAAGTCAGTGGCTGAATTGACTTCCAGCGCTGTGCACCCCCACCAGAAACAAGTCCCGTTTCATGAGACTCATTTGACTTTCAAGCAGGGTATGCACACACGTCTGACGTGCGACTGCACCTTCCATTTCTGTTTGTTGAATCTTGGCGTCAGCGTTTTCAGACCATGAAGGCCTCACATGCCACAGACCTTGACAAACAACAGGCAGCCACGCTGAAAGTCCAAATAGATGACATACTCCAGTGGTGTAAGTGAATTGATGTGAATTGGCGATTGCATCGGACACATCTCGATCAAAGGCGGGTGATTTGGTCCTTTGACGCTGTGACTATTTCTGACTCACCCTGGCGGGTTCTGCTCGACCGGTCTTGGCCAGGCCCGCCTCGTTACCGCCGAAGGCCTTGTTGCTACGAGCCTTGGTCGAGAAGTTTTGAGGGATAGGGCATTTTGTAGACACTCTTCGGCTAGAAAAGGTATGGAAAAAGTCGTGAGGCAACGAATGGGCTGAAGTTTGGCTAAGAAGGAGCCCATGCACCAGAACCAGCGGATGCTCATCGATGTCTGACTGTGACTAAGCAGCGGGAAAAACACATTAAACATAGATCATTAAACAAAAACATCATTCTGAGACAAATCCTTAACGATTCCAAGCAGACTGAAGTGGTTCAGTCACCCCGCATCTGCGTGAAAAGGGTTGAACATCTGATCACATGGAACGAACACATATATTTACTGGACAGTCTTGGACGAGTTCTTGGTCTTCATGTATTGAGCATGTCTCTGGTTGACCGCTAGGTGTGATAGAGTTATTTGTTTTTAGTTGTTTTTTGGTGTGTGTGTGTGTTATTTGGCTGATGTCTGTGTTTGAGGGTCCCTCCACCTTGTCATTCCACAGACCAACACCACCGTGCACCACTCTCGAGTCGGAACCGGCGAGGCTTGGACTCGTTGGCTCGCATGGGTCTCCGGCTGCCAGAGGTGCTGAAGTTTGTTTATTGGTTTAAAGGGTGTTTGTTCACCGTGCATGCTGGGGCAGCTTCCTGCTGGAGGATTCGTGCCGCCAGTTTTGGCATGATTGAACAGATGAAAGGAGAAACCTTTAATATCATTTGATCATATTTAATCTAATTATATCTTACAAATGAACTGCAGCCGGCGGTTGATGGACGTGCCGTTTTGCTGTAGATGTGGGAATGCGGTCGGTGTAGGACTTCAAGAAACCTACGGAATAGTCTTGTGACCCCGAACACACACACACAGAAGAGGTTCGAGATGAAAAGTTCAAAACACAAAAAATCATCAAAATTACTTTACGTCGAGTGATCCCCACCATGACATTTCAATCATTTGTCTTGATGCCATAGTGAGGAGCATGTTGCCATAGTCGTTAGTATTGTAGTTCTCGATGTTGCTTGTGGGTCCTCGGGTTGTGTGCTGTGGTTGTGTGCTGTGTTGTGGTTGTGGTTGTGTTTGTGGTTGCGTGTTTGTGGTTGTGTGTTTGTGGTTGTGGTTGTGATTGTGTGTTTGTAGTTGTGGTTGTGGTTGTGTCTTTGTGATTATGTGTTTGTGGTTGTGGTTGTGGTTGTGTCTTTGTGATTGTGTGTTTGTAGTTGTGTTTGCGGTTGTGTGTTTGTGGATGTGTTTGTGGTTGTGTTTGTGGTAGTGGTTGTGATTATGTGTTTGTAGTTGTGGTTGTGGTTGTGTCTTTGTGATTATGTGTTTGTAGTTGTGGTTGTGTTTGTACTTGTGGTTGTGTGTTTGTGGTTGTGTTTGTGGATGTGTTTGTGGTTG